TATTTTTTGTAATTCTATTAGAATTTTTTTGTGCTTTTTCTGGGACCGTTGTGTTTTTTAGAGATTTTAACTGCACAATGAAATCCTTGGGGGTTCTTAATTACGACACTAAATTAAGTTCTGCTGGCCTGGTCTATGCTCACTATGGCAAAAGTGTTATTGCTCGTCTCTTAAATCTGAAAAACGATGACCCGAAAGTCGCTTGTTTATTTGAAAAACTTTACGAGACATTTGTTGAGTCAGTAGATGCAATTGATAACGGCATCCCACAGTACGATGGTATTCCCAGGTAAGACGCGGTTTACTGACTGGTATGCTTTCTTTCTGTAAACATTCATAGACTCAGGTTAAAAAAAGTTTGGAATCTATTTATTCATGAATGATTTTCTTTTTTAGGTATCGTTTGTGCGGAACATTATCCGGTCGCGTTCGTCATTTGAATCCAATGTGGAATGAAGGTGATGTGAACGTGGACCAAAGGTTCTTTGGAATGATTTTTTTTCTTACAGGAGTATGAAAGGCAAGCATCTGTAATGAACAAAGAGCTGTATTTAGTTGTGCGTGAAATAGACGAATTTTAGTAATTTGTTACAAATCTTACTGTAGACTCTGGGTTTTGTAGATTTCGTGAAGCTATGAAGATGGTTGGAAATGAATTCGAGAACGCAGTAAATTATCTGTTTCGTAGCTGGCTGCCTGCTAAAGATATAGTTGCAGAAGCAATTAAGGAAAGGTTTAAGGTACAAGTTGCAGTCGTTCCTTTAAAAGCACTTCTCTTAGGGTAATTCTGTAGACAATTTAAACTAGGTACTAGTCTGCTGTTTATTTTACGCGTTGGTTTCTGGTTCAAAATGTTATTTTGTTTCTAAGATATATTTTTTACAAAATCTTGCCCAACTTTCCAGGTCGATGAGAGCGGAAAAATTGTCTTGCTTCAGAATGGTGGTGTTCCTTGGAAGGAACACTTGTTTAGATTAGAGAAAGAACTAAAAGTGGACCCGTTATGTTGCGTATTTTATGTTGTCTTTTCTGATCAGTCTTCAGGAACATGGAGGGTACAAGCGGTGCCTGTCAGCGAAAATTCTTTGTTTGTTAACAGGCTAGTCGTCGCAGTTTTTAATGTTTTAACATTTTTTTCTCACTCATATTTTTATTTTTGCAGGTTGCCTCTTCCAGAGGACTGGAGAGGTTTAAGGGACCAGGAGTTAAGTGAGGTTTCTGGAATACCGGGATGTATTTTCGTACACGTTTCGGGCTTTATTGGCGGGAATCAGTCAAGTAAAGGCGCAATTGAGATGGCAAAGAAGGCTTTAAAACGTGCAGCGTAGTAGTTAGATGGTTTGGAAGGGCGTTTATTTTGTGTGTTGAACGTTTACCATTGGGTAATTATCTGTAGTTCAAATAAGCAAGGTTTGAAAGGTTATTTTATGTAATTAAACCATAATCACTTATTCCGTCAAACTAGATTTGTAATAGAGTATCGATATTTGTTAGTGGCTAAGAGTACCTGCTTCATTTTTTTTGTGGTTATTTAATGTTAAATTGATAGTTAGTTTGGAAAGAATTAATTTATGCATATTTTCTACTTTGAAATGTATTCTTTGATTGTAACTTTTCATTCTTTTTGTTTATTTATTTGTCACTTATTCGCTTTTCGCTATATTTCCACTTCTGAAAGTCCATAGCAATGAAGTTGTCTGCCAGAGCGAATACATAGTTTTTCATCTCTTGTCTCATTTTATCTACAACAGCTATTTTTCAGTTTAAAATCTATATTGCAAGTAGTTGACTCGAAGAGCTTCATTTTCTTTGGCTTATTCAGAGCAGTACATGCTTGGCTTTGTTTCGACTCTTCGAGAAAGAAAACTTTTTATTGATCCTTATTTAAACCCTTGTTTAGTTCAGTATGTCTGTTTATCTGGGTTTTTACCAGTGGTTATTATTGGTGCTTTTTTCCGGTGATTAGTTATCCGTCTGAGATGCATTACTGCTCGATTTGAGACTGGGTAGTCCTTTTGATTGCTAGACTCAGAATATGCAACATTAGATTGGCCTTTAATTTGGAAACTAAATGATGGAACTATTCATTGGGGTTCGCTTTAAGTGGACAGGGTATTATTGATTATGGGCTGGGACTTCAGTCACAAGTTGGTATATGCAAAAAAATTAATGACTTTTACTGGTCAGCAACTAAGAAATTCCGCGTGTTGATGGTGCTTGAGTTTTTCAGTACAGTATGGGAAGGATATCTATCTGGGTGTAGACATCTTTTTGTCTGATTAAGATTTAAAGAGTCCCGGTGGATTTTCAACTTATTGGAAATGATAACTTATTCCCAATTTAATTAGTTTTTGTTGATGTCTATTTTGGCACTAGTTTAAATTCTCTAGGAGCATACTCTTACATTTTAGGAGTTCTCAAAGCCACTGGTTATGTCGAGTTCTTTTGCCTGAGAATAATGTTCTTCGTTCTTCGTTTTTTTAAGTTATGGCTTTTGTAAAATTTCTTATTGTTGAGTAAATGGTATATTTAATGGGTTTGAAGGTATTTTAAGATGACCAGTCGCTTTACTGGTGGTTTAGTTTTGACTGGAACCATTACATCACTGTCTGGTCAATATTTTGTCTAACTATGAATTCTTTGGGAATCTGCACCTGGTTCTGTCTCTGATAATACTATTACTGAAACTGCATCGTACTTCTTGTGTTCGACGACTTCTTGAGACTAGAATTCAACTTGTTTTCAGTGCGTACATTGCCAATTATGACATGGTTTGGATATTTAAACGAGAATAAGAACACGTTAATTGTTGCAATGACTGGAGCAGTACTAGCAGACTGTATTGTACTGTTTGCAATTAGACGATATTTCACTAATTATGCTTCGGCAGATGGTGAAACGATAGAAGTTTTGCGGTATGCATAAAGCTATCAAATCTTGTGTTATCTCTTATTTAACACGTGAAATTCCCTGAGGATTACTCACAGTAGCATTCAGTAATGCACGTTAATGTTTCACTGTTATTGTTAAGTGGGTGTTAAATGTTTCTCATCATCTTTTTGAAGTGACATTATGACGCTTATAGTGCTGATATTGCAAAGTTGCGTTCAGAAGTCCTTACGTTAAGGTCCATCGTAGAGGAGATTAGTGGCGCACTTTACAGTACTGCTAATGGAAGTAGTGAGTCCCGCTATAGCGTCCGTCCAAAAGGTTTTGTGCTTTTTTGGTTTAGTAATTTCTTATCTGATTTCAGTACTTTTTACAACTTTGAATGTGAGAATTGTCATTCTTTTCCTATGCAGAAAGTTGCAAGCCTTTTATTTGAGTGAGATCCAGTTAAGCTGCTTTTGTTTTCATGGTGATTATTCCTTGAAGCAGTTCAGACTTTTTTTTTCTAGAAAAAAAAAGTGAAGTACTGTTAAGACTCACTGAGATTAAGTTGTGTTGGGACTGGGATGGTTGAGTTTTTTTACCGTCTGATAGGAAATTTTCGAAAAACTTATAAACAGTCGACGCTTCACCAGGTTACTGATTGTGTAGATCTTCAAGTAAAATAGTTGCGTCGGCGACATAGAAGTGCTAGCAGTTGTGATGCAAATATTTCCTTTATCTTTGGGAACAGTTTTTAATCTCTTTTCCTCTGTGTACGCCTTCATAAGTATGGGGGTGGAAGTTGGTATTTGAGGTGATTTCATACAAAATTCTTTATGATATAATATAGGAGCAGAAGGAGATTCGATTTTTGAAGCATCATAGGAAAAGTTGCTTTTTTAAGCACTAGGATTGCTTGGGCTCAATAGGATGCGTTGAAAGTAACAGGAAAATCTTTAATCTTTTTTTTTTTTTTTTTGAAATTTTGATTGCATAGTTTATTTCCTCTTTTTTTTGAAAAGCGTTTTTTTCAAAAGTGCCTTACAAAGGCAGTGATCCAAGCTGGTTTTCCGAATTGAACAGGTTGCTGTAACAGTAGGAGCTTTCAAATAGTAAAATTGTTGACAAAGTAACAGTCAGTGAAGTTTTAGGGCATATAGTTTGTTCGCAGTTAGATGCGATCAAAAGGTTTATCAAGGGATGAAAGTTTTGGAGAGTAGATTCTCAGGGGCTTTTTGGAAGTATTACTTCTCAGCTGAGATATGGGACAGTCTGTTAGGAATTAGGGGGCAGTCACTATAACCACTTGTTTCCGGTGACATCCAACAGCGAAGAAATAGTACTTTTTTTAGAGTTGGGGTTTCATTTCGCTTTTTTTTTGTCATAGGGACGGTCAGATGCTGTCATGCTCCGTACTTTGACCTTGCTGGTGCCGGTCTTTTACTGGTCAACACAGTTGTGGGAAAGTTTAAGAACTATAATCACAGGAACTTAATGCATTTCATTGAAATTGAGTTTGGTGCCAAACTTGGCAAATGGTCGGGTACGGGGTAGTTCGTGTTTTTCATTTTTAGATAGAGTTTGTAAGGGAAACAACGGGATAAATGTATGGCTTTGGAATGTTGCTGAAGAAATATTTAGTCTTATATACATCTGGAACGTGCACTGCGTATTGAAGTAAGTAAGCAGATTTCAAATGAGTAGAAATCGGATAATTGACTTGTTTATCCATTGTCCTTGATGGGTTTTTTGAAGAATGGC